TCCCCTAGATACGCCTCTGCTAGAGAAGGCACATCTAGTGGCGGATCAAGGAATTCAAAATACATGAGCGGCCGGGTAGGACTTACAGATGAAGGGTCGAAGTACCGCAGCCCCACCTTAGTTCATGGGGCTAAGGTAAGATATTTCATGACTACACTAGATGGCCGAAAATTTGGGGCTTATATTTGAATATAATGTTTCTCATGTTATTTATGGATGGGGCGGCTGACTCCCCTCTCTTGAATCCGCCTGTGACATCTGTAAAAAACACACATATGCAACACGCTCTACTCAAAATAAATTCAAAATTACCATGGCGACTTGTGGTTGTAAAATGGTGTTTGAAGAATACCGGCTGGAAATACTGTAATATAAAAATAAATAAATTAATTAATAGAATAAAATAAAATTGATTAACTGGAATTCCAGTAAGTACGTATTAAAATCATTTTGATTGATCAAAATAAAATTTAACATTCATAAACAAGATATATGCCAATTGAACGACAATGTGAATAAAATGATGTAATAAGTAATGTATTGGACTAATTTTAAGACTAACTACATAACATTAGCAGATATCGACTTTGACTATGTTTATATAGCATGTCTTTAAAGACATGCGTGAGGCATGGGTCTGTGGAGATTATAGGTTGAATATTACTATTATAAAACATTAGTGAATTACACATTGGGATGTATACACAGCAGTGCGGTTTGCTATAGCTTTAGACGAGTAGACATCTACGGCTCGTTAGCCTTGAGCATAGTTACAAGAAAAAACATCCTTGGATTTAGGGTTATACTTGAGAGGAGAGAATGTATTAATGATCAAGAGAATGCGTGTCATTTTGTCAGAATAGGGCCTACCATATTATATATCACATTTTATATGGTTTTATAAAATATATTTTATTAGATTTATGTATATATGTATGTTTATCTATGTACCGTGTATGTGTGTAATATGTATATGTATACCTGGCCCCGTGCCACCGGCCTTTTGCCAGCCGGCCCGTTGTCAACCTATGCATGTTTCCACCCTGCCTTTTACAACTTTTGTTTTAAAAGCAATACTTACATTGTGTTGGGTTGTTTTTTGTTTTTTTTTTGTTTTTTTTTTTACAATTTTTTTTACACAGATTTGTAATTATGAATAATTTGTATTTGAATGGTGAATAGTTCTAACTAATAGTGGAGTAGAAATTAAATTGTCCCGTTTTATTAATATATACTTCTTATTCAATTCGTATAAAGAAGGCAATATTGTAGTGTCCAGTTTTAGTATATTTTCCAATTAGAAAAAAATAATAGTTATTTGTACAGTTTAACCACAAGCCTATGTTATGTGTGAATATAACGATGGCTGTTACAAACATTATTAATTAATTCTAACTGAACTGTATGGCACCCCATGGTTTAAGGACAATTTATTACAAGCTATAGCCTATTTTTCATAAGAAATAAGGTCAAGGATAAATTTTAGGATACATTTTGGTAGATCTAGACTAAAACCGATTAACTCTTGTCGTTAGCGGAACTCTACAAACATAATACGCTAAGTGACATTGACGATCTGCCAACTAATCCTCCAGATTCTTTCCTCTATGTTTTATCATGAGAAGGATTATTTCAGGGTATATTTCGGTCTTCACGTCCAATTTGCATTTCTAACACCGAATGTTGTTGTTATGTTTTTGTTGACTAAAACAGAAACACACCAAAAGATATAATAAATTATACTGTCAAAATATACACACATACATACTTGCGTACCATACATCTAAATACATACTATTCCAAACGCTAATTAGAACAGCTGCCTCACGCATAATTTATGATCGCAACGAATTATCTTTGGCAACGGTCTGGGTGGTAACGGGCCTAGGGTGGCAAGAAATAGGGTGGCAACGGGGAACCGTGTTATTCCCCATGGTGTTGAGATTTTGTTTTTGATTGCTTTTATCGCATTCATTTTTGGTCAATTATTAAATTGTATTGTCTAGTTAATTTTTCTTATACGTTTTAATGCACCACCATTTGACGTGAGCCATTGTTATAAAGGTATATGTTTGAATAGATAAATATCATAACGCAATGACTTAGGCTACTGTAGATAGTGAAACAGTGCATGTGGAGGTTGAAAGCTGGATGGAGTGTTCGTCTGTTGTTTTCTGATCAAAGATGTTGTTTGTAGTCAAAAGGGTTAATTTTATCATCAAAATGCTCAATTGTGAGGCTTTGGTTGGGAGAAAACTGCTGTATAAGCTGTGTACCGATATGAGGCTCAGAAAATGAAGTTGCGATAGGTTATGATTTTTGCTGGATTTAATACTAGGATTCTAGAATTGGAAGGCAGAGCTCTTACTATCAACATACTTTTTTAAATCATAAACATAAAGTAAATTATTTACCAATTTCGTTATGACTTCTTGTGTAGTACGCATTGACAACAGCTGGGCCCATCAGCCACCTTTTACAAAACATTTTAAAAACAGAATAATTAAAATTAAAAAGAACAAATGTTTTAAATACATTACACTCTTTCCAGTAAGAAACTTTATTCTGTATAAAATGAATATCGCAAAAGTATAAGCAAGTGTTGTATAGAGCACGAACAGGATTTCGTCATATTATCAACGTACAAGATTGAAATTTTGAAAAAATTTTGTCTGCTTTAAAAGATACATTTAAGTTTACGAAATCTTTAAAACATAATTTTGAATCAAGCAGGGTTCATGAGAGTTGGAAGTAAAGTATTATAGTACCATTTAATAAAAGGGCTTGAATGAAAAAAAATTCTCATAATAATAAAGGTATCTCTTCTTGTACTGTGCGTAAAATATTATTTACGCCGAATATTACGGTATTATCTTTTGTAATTTTGCTCTTTTTTGTGTTTGACTGTATTATAAGTAGATAAAATGTACTATATACTGTTACATTACATTCAGAGGTAAAGACATAACGTCACATTACGTTAAAGCAGACTTACTCTGCTTCGACGACTTTTTGAAACAATTGTTCGAAATGTGCCCGAGCTGTCCAGTTCCCGTATTCAATCTCGTTTGCAAAGAAGTCGGAGTCGCCAAAATCAATCTAAGTACAGTAATGGTTTGAAAGAATCAAAAGGTTTGAGATCATATTTTTCATTCAATCACTGATAGATACACAATTAATAAAGTCAGATGAAGAAGGCATGGTAAAATTTTGTAAATGATATTACAAAAAGTAGAAACTATAATGAAAGATGACACCCATCCACTTCACCATTGTTTCAGTTTTAGTCACTCAGGTTTTAGATTATATCTTCCACGTATTCGACACAACAAATACAGGGACTCATTTGTAATTAACGCAATACGTATCTTCAACCAAAATGCCAAACAAAAATGAGTGATTTTAATTAGCTTGCAATGCGAATTTTACATTTTAAAATGTTTTAAATGAATTAATTATTAATTATTTTAAATTGTTAGAAAACTTTCCAAATTTTAGTCACTGTTCTCCTTCTGGTGTTTTGATGTTTCATGTTCTTTGCCAGTGGAAAAAGAATTTCCATTTTACCTGTGTTTTAATGGACAAATAAAGTTC